CGGGGGGGGGGGGGGCAGCTTGGGCACCACAACAGGGAAGGTGCCAATGCACCAGTGGCACAGCAGGAGGCAGACATCAGGGCACCCCACAAGCCGTCCAAATGACTGGCGCCAAATGTTCCCTCTAAGCTGAGTTAGTGTGAGCTAGCTCACAGCGTTTTAGCCTCTGGCTCACACATTTTTGTCTCAGCTCAGGAAGGAGAGCTCTGGAGCAAACTAATTTATGCAGCAGCCAAATCGCTCGCTCACAGCTTGAATGCCGGTAGCTCACAAAGTAGAATTTTTGCTCACAAGACTCCACAGCTTAGAGGGAACATTGGTGGCGCCCTCCCCACTTTAGGGTTGCCAGTCTCCAGGTGTTGGCTGGAGATCTCCTGGGGCAACACTTGATCTCCAGGCAACAGAGACTTGGAGGAAACAGCCGCCCCAGAGGGTGGACTCTGGGGGGTCATACAACCCCCGAGCTCCCTCCCCTCTTCAAATTCTGCCTTCCTAGATCTCCAGGAATTTCCCAAGCCAGATCTGGCAACCCAAGAGGTGGGGGCTTCCAGAGGCAGCCACGGGGGTGCCCGTTTCCTTAATGTGAGAGCCAGCCACTTGGGGGGGGGGGCAGCTCTGTGTTACTGGCTCCATGTACGGGCAGCTCTGGGGCACACTCTGGCAGCCGGCAAGTCCCCAGAGAAACTAGGGCAGTCCCCCAGCTAGGCTTGCCAACCTCCAGGTGGGGCCTGGAGTTCGCCTGGAATTACATCTGCTCTCAATATGACACAGATCAGTTCCCCTGAAAACAATTGCAGCTATGGAAGGCAGACTCTATGGCAGGGGTGTCAAACATGCGGCCCGGGGGCCGGATCGGGCCCCCAGAGGGCTTTTCTCAGGCCCGCAGTGGAACCGGCTGTCTTCTGCTTCTTCTTCCAGTTCTCCTGCTGCTGCATCATCGTAGGTTTGCGGCTTACAGATAACACACCTGAACAGCATACTCAAGACGGCAACAGCACAGACATTTTGATGCAATCATTCAGAGCAAGAGGTGTCAGTTATCAGGCACTGTTAAATAAGCAAAATATTGCAAGAGTGCTAATGTTTTAAGCATGTTTTTATTTTAAGTTTTAAAAAAACACTTTGTGTTTGTGTCCTTTATAGAGTTTACATCTCCGCTACCTGGCATTACCTTTTAAGACACACGTGGCCCGGCCGGACAAGGACTCATTCATGTCAGATCCGGCCCTCATCACAAATGAGTTCGACACCCCAGCACTATGGCATACCATAGTTGCGAGGTGAAATCCCTCCCCAGGTCGTCCCCCCACAGGCGCCGCCTCCAAATGTCCAGAAATTGCTTGGCCGCAGTTGGCCACCCAACTAGGCTGCATGCCCAGTGCCAGCTACCTCCATCTGGAAAGACTTCTGTAGAGAATTACACCAGACAAGCAGCCGGGGAAACTGTGACTGGGCCTCCCCTGCAGGAAGGTTTTATCAAGGGGAAAGCAGCCATACCGGGTCCAGTATGGATCAGGACCGACCAGGCTGCCAGGGAAGAGAGGGGAAAGAAGGAAGGGTCAGCTCAGGACAATCTACTGGGCAACTTTTGCCTGCGTGCCCCCTTTTCCGGTTTCAGACATTAGGAGACCCAAGATATGCTGTAGATATGTAGGACTGTCTTTCAGCTGTGCTCCTGCAGAGTGCAGGGGGTTGGACTAGATGACCCGCAAGGTCCCTTCCAGCTCTAACATTCTATGATTCTATGACCTGCAAACCACATGGTCAATTCCTTATGGTAGCCTGCACCAATCTCCCACTGCCCGCATGGTGGACATCTGGGGCCCAAACTTGGGAACAGAGAACCCAACCTGCCTGGGACTGTTTGAAAGGGTCCAACTACTCCCTTACAACATGGAGCGGACGTTGCTCGTTGAGAATCTTCTATTGCAATCTTATGAGAAGAAAAAGGAGGAGGAGGAGGAGGAGATTGGATTTATACCCTACCCTTCACTCAAGAATCTCAGAGCGGCTTACCATCTCCTTTCCCTTTCCCTCCCCACAACAGACACCTTGTGAGGTGAGTGGGGCTGAGAGAGCTATTTTCGAGAACTACTCTTTCAAGGACAGCTCTGACAGAACTATGTCTTGCCCAAGGCCATCCAGCAGCTGCGAGTGGAGGAGTGGGGAATCAAACCCGGTTCTACCAGATTAGAGTTCGCGCACTTAACGGCTGCACCAAACTGGCTCTCTTGTGTGTGTGGGGGGGGGGGAGTAAGCCCATCAATTTTACTTGCAAGTAAGCCCAAACGCAACGGGACCTTCTGACACGCTTGGGCTTCTCATTTGCTTGAGAGAACCAAAATGTCTTCCCCTGAGGTCAACCTCCCGTTGTGGGGATATTACTTTTTTCCCTCCCTTGAAACCTCAACAACGAGCCCGCTACTCGGCCAAGCCCTTCGGAGTAGCTTCAGCCAGCGAAAGGGGAAATAATCCTGGATTTACTTCACAGGGCTGTTACGGGGAAGATCAAGATTTCTCCGGCACTTTGAACATTAGACGCTATGTAACCGATTAATGACAGCGAGGCCGGGGACCGCGAGCCGGAGGCCGTTCCACCTCCAGAGCCAGGAGCCGGCCTCGGTAGACGGCCTGTCGGAATGGCTCAGCCCCACAGACAATGAGGCCCATTCAGGTACGCAGGAGCCTACCGAGGGGAAATTTATGACCTGCCTCAAATATCACCTTTTCAACTTCGTGCCTTGGCTCGGCCACCTTTGCAGGGAGCTCTCGGCAATGGATGACTTTCTTCAGCGCCGGGGCCCCCATCCAAGCCAAACAAACGCTCTCGCAATAAAACCCACAGAGAGACGGGCGGCCTCAGACGAATATACCTGCAGTCCACGATGATCTCATCAATCAAGCGGGCGACCAGGGTGTCCAAGTCTGTGGCCGAGCACTTGGCCTTCAGGGCACGGTGGACCAGCTCCAGATTCGCTTCCTGCACAGAGCACAAAACCCACACGCAGTCTTACTCACCCGGGGCGCCCATCCTTTCAGCCTCGCTGGCCGTCTTCATCAGGAAAGCAAGGGTTCGTCTGAAGTCCACTCCCGCTTCCACCTTCCGTTCAGGGGCCAGAAAGAGCTTTGCTCTTTTTTAAATGCAGCCTACGGGACTGATCCATACCCAGCAGAACTCCAGGAGCCCTTTGCACGGTAAATCAGTGTTGCGTATCCACCCAGTGCTGCACAAACCGCACTGGCTGGCTATTAAATCCCGGATCTGTTTCAAGGTGCTGGTGCTTACCTTTAAAGCCCTATACGGCCAGCGGCCAGCATACCTATGAGCAGTGTTCCCTCTAAGCTGAGTTAGCGTGAGCTAGCTCACAATTTGTTAGCCTCCGGCTCACACATTTTTGTCTCGGCTCAGGAAGGGATGGCTCCAGAGCAAACTAATTTATGCAGGAGCCAAACTGCTCGCTTACAGCTTTAATGGCAGTAGCTCACAGAGGAGAATTTTTGCTCACAAGACTTCACAGCTTAGAGGGAGCATTGCCTACGAGCAGGGCTATTTTGGAGCAGGAACGCACCGGAACGGAGTTCTGGCTGGCTTCCGAGTTGGCCACGCCTACAGCCCCCCCCCCGGTTCCCCAGGCGCCTCGCAAGCCACGGGGCACCTGGGGAAGCCAAGCCAATCCAGGGAGGGAAGGCAGTTTAACCTGCCTCCCCTCCTCGGGTTCCCCAGGCGCCCCGCAGCTGCAAAGCACCTGGGGAAGCCGATCCAGAAATTGCCTTCCTCCCCTGTCGGGTTCGCCATGCACCCCGCAAGCCGTGGGGCACCTGGGGAAGCCAATCCTGGGAGGGAGCTGCACGGTCAGGGGTGTGGCCTAATATGCTAATGAGTTTCTGTTGTTGGGTGTGGCCTATTATGCTAATGAGTTCCTGCTGGGCTTTTTCTACAAAAAAAGCCCTGCCTACGGGATCGCCTCTCCCCGTATGAGCCCCGGAGGGTACTGAGGTCCACAATCCAACATCTGTTGGTGGTTCCCGGCCCTGGCCCCTGCCTGGTGGAATGAGCGCCCGTGTGAGATCAGGGCCCTGCGGGACTTATTGCAGTTCCGCAGGGCCTGCAAGACGGAGCTCTTCCGCCGGGCATTTGGTGGAGGCAGCGGACGTCCCTTCTCTCCTTCCCTCCAGCTTTCCTGGCCCTAACTTTTCCTGCCCAATTTTTTCAGGCCAATTGTCCATCAGGCCTGTTCTGACTAGTCATCTGACAACTTTTATAACTATACGGTATTTTATGACTTGCTGTTTCAGTTGTATATTTAACTGTTGTACACCGCCCTGAGCCCACTGGGGAGGGCAGTATATAAATCTAATCAAATAAAAAATAAAAATAAAAAGCTGAGGCCAGAAGCCTGGCTTAAAAAGGTAAAGGTTCCCTTGCTCGAAAACCAGTCGAATCCGACTCTAGGGTTGCGGTGCTCATCTCCGTTTCCAAGCCGAAGAGCCAGCGCTGTCTTACAGTTCATTTGAAAAATCACTTTTAAAACATTAACTTCTTCCCGCTGCCTGGCTGAAGGCCAGGTCCAGTTTTCCTGCTGTCTTCCGGACACAATCGAAGGTGCAAACAAGCTTTGGTCCAGGACGGTTCGGGTGGCTCCGGTGCAATGGACCCAAGAGGGGGCTCTCTGCTTTCCACCTCCGCCACCCACCATTTCTGGGTGTTCCACGAGAACAGGGGAGAGGGGCTTCTTTAAAAACATGAGCCTCCAAGACCCAAGGGGAGATTGCAACGTGACGCTGCTGAACTAGAGTTCATTCACAAATTCAAAACAATGGAAAACCCCCCCCAGGCCTGAATAGGGACACAGGATTCTTATCTCACTACAGATGCTAATTCTCTGGAGAGTCTTTTGTCGAAAATGACACTGCCGCCTCCTTGTGGCCAGATGGATGTGTGGATTAGCCCACGTTCTGAGTCCCGCCACCATCTCCCCACAACCCGCCAGAAGAGCCTCACTCACCAGTCGATCTGCGGCCCCAAAGAGAAGGTTCTGGACGTCAGTTCTGTGGCTGATGTCTTCCCAATAGGAGGAGAGCACCACCACGGGCTTCACGTTGCCCCACGGCAGGTAGTAATACTGGCAGCCTGTCAGGGAGACACGAAGCCCTCTTCAGCCAACCCGATGGCCAGAACTCATCCGCTGAGTCCAACGCCTGGGTGTCTTGCAAAGACTGTGTCTGCACCAATGCTCCCTCTAAGCTGTGGAGTCTTGTGAGCAAGAATTCTACTCTGTGAGCCACTGGCATTAAAGTTGTGAGTGAACGATTACTGCATATATTAGTTTGCTCTGGAGCCATCCTTCCTGAGCGAAGACAAAAATCTGTGGGCTGGAGGCTAAAAAAACTGTGTGCTAGCTCACACTGTCTCAGCTTAGAGGGAACACTGGTCTGCACCCAAATTCCTGGCGCTTTAGGGCTACCATATCCAGAACCAGTTAACTTAAACAAGGTTATACCATGCAAAAATACGTAATAAATAAATTCAAGTGTGTGCTTTATCCCAAATATAATAGTGAGTATAAATTAGATATAATATGTATAAAGACAAAGGTAAAGGTTTCCCATTGCTCAAAAGCTAGTCGAATCCAACTCTAGGGGGCGGTGCTCATCTCCGTTTCCAAGCCAAAGAGCCAGCGCTGTCCGAAGATGTTTCCATGGTCATGTGGCCGGCATGACTGGACACCGAGGCGCACGGAATGCTGTTACCTTTCCACCGAAGCGGTACCTATTTATCTACTTGCAATTTCTTGCTTTCGAACTGCTAGGTTGGCAGGAGCTGGGGCCAGAGACTGGAGCTCACTCCGCCACGCAGCACTCAGGTCTCGAACTGCCGAACTACAGACCTTCCGGTCTGCAGCTCAGTGTCTTAACCTCTGAACCACATATAAATCAAAAGTCAAAAACAAGAACGCTGTGCCTGTTGCGGGAGCACGTCAGTGCTGAAGAATTGAAATCTGGAGGCAGTTGCGTCCTTTCTTTAATGTACCTTATTACCTGTGAAAATTGATTTCGTTTGTAAAAGGATCATCCGCTGTGAGGAAAAGGAGCGTTAGCTCTTGGGAGAGAGTGTCTCGAAACGGCTTTTCTTTGTTGGGAGTGGGTCCTGACTTGCTACAAGCTTCATCACCCTAATGAAGTCGGGAGGAAGCGAACGTCCTTACACAGCAGGATAATTCTTTGGAAAGTTTTCCTATGTCAGATTTTTCAAATGTTTGGAATGGACACCTCAGAGACTGGATTTTGACTTTTGATTTACATATAGTAATATATGTATTCTATCTCTCTATCTATTACTGCTCATACAGCTATAACCTTGAGCAGGAAATAAAATAATAAAATGAAATAATGCCTTACTTGATATTCTTCTGCTGCTGAAAGCCAGTCGAATCCGACTCTAGGGATGTGGTGCTCATCTCCGTTTCCAAGCTGAAGAGCCAGTGCTGTCCAAAGACGTTTCCGGTATGACTAGATGCCGAGGTGCACAGAATGCTGTTATCTTCCCACCAAAGCGGTACCTATTGATTTACTTGCAATTTCTTGCATTCGAACTGCTAGGTTGGCAGGAGCTGGGGTCAGAGATGGGAGCTCACTCCGTCATGCGGCATACTCGGGTCTCAGCGTCTTGACCACTTACTATTATATTTGGGACACATTATAACCTTTATAATTACATGAGTTTATTTTTTTACCTATTTTTGCATGGTCTAACCTTATTTCAGTTAACTATTCATAACTGTGTCCCTGTTTACATACCCAGAACTGAGGCTGGCGCTTGTGTAGGGGAGAATTTGAGGAGCCAAAGGCATCGGCAGGTGCCATCGTGCCCACGGCACCATCTTGGGAACCCCTGATCTGAGGGGATAGTCAAGATGGCTCGTGGAGCCACCGTCATGATTCTTCAAAAGAACACTAGACTGGAACGGTGCTATACTAGTTTGGTGTCGTGGTGAATTGCACGGACTCTAATCTGGGAGAACCGGGTGTGATTCCCCACTCCTCCACTTGCACCTGGCTGGATGACCTTGGGCAAGCCGTAGTTCTGATAAGAGCTGTTCTTGAAAAAGAGCAGTTTCTGTCTAGAGCTCTCTCAGCCCCACCTACCTCACAGGGTGTCTGTTGTGGGGAGGGGAAGGGAAAGGCGTTTGTAAGACGCTCTGAGACTCCCTTGGGTAGTGAAGGGTGGGGTATGAATCTCTTCTTCTGCTGCTGCTTTATAAAGATACCAAGGATTTCAGACAGCCCATCTATTCCATTGCAGGAACTGGTTACTAATGGGTTTTTTTCCTGTCATTTCAGACTGACCCGCTTTAGTAACTGGTTCCTAATGGAATATATTTACCTGTTCATACAATGCCGGTTGTCTCCCATTTGGGAAGCGTGTCTGGGGAGCTGTTGACAAAAACTGCTTTCCTCAGGTCTTCAATCCCTTCTTCCGGATCTGAATCACTACAGTGGGCTGTGTAAAAGGCCCTGTAGTGCTTCCTCCAGTGACATGTTTTTCACACCTCCCCCTCCCACATGCAATCCTTCCAATTTTTTTTTTTTTCAATGTTCTCTTGGGAGCGCTGAAATGCTATAACAGGACATCAAATCAGCCCCACAGCGCTCCCAATGAAAAAAAAACCCTCTCAGGGAGACCGTGCGCGCGGAAGGAAATGGCGGGAAAAGAATGCGGCACAGTTTGAAATGGCCGCAGTGCTTCAGAGACGGCTCCTTACCAGAAGGGAAATTCTGTGTGAAACAGCCGTCCCTAGAGGAGGAAGAGGAGGAGATGAGATGTGTACCCTGCCGTTCACTACCCAAAGGAGTCTCAGAGTGGCTTACAAACTCCTTCCCCTTCCCCTCCCCACCACTGACACCCTGTGAGGCGGGTGGGGCTGAGAGAGCTCTGACACAAACTGCTCTTTTTCCAAGAACAGCTCTGACAGGACTATGGCTTGCCCAAGGTCACCCAGCCAGGTGCAAGTGGAGGAGTGGGGGAATCAAACCCGGTTCTCTCAGATTAGAGTCCGCACACTTCACCACGACACCAGACTGGCTCGTGCTGAGACACGAGAGTGTTTTTACTGGAGAAAGATTCTGCCGCACATTGATGCATTCGACCCTAACCCTAACCCTAACCCTGATGTATCAGGGGACTTCCCGTGGCGTCTGTGGTCCGCGCACCTAACCACAACACCAAACTGGCTCCAAACTGTACTGGTTTCCTCCATGACGGGCCAATAACAGAAACCATGTGATTTAAAAAGGTAATGTGAAATCGACCACCCTCTTTAAAAAGAGGTTCTTGTATTCCTATTTTAACTGTTGGTATGACAACATGGTATGGTGTTTAGTCATGCCGGCCACATGACCACGGAAATGTCTTCGGACAGCACTGGCTCTTCGGCTTGGAAACGGAGATGAGCACCGCAAACCTAGAGTCAGAATCGACTGGCTTTTGAGCAAGGGAACCTTTACCTTTACCTATGACACCTCGAGCTGCGGAGTAGCAGGGTCCTTTTCCAAAGAAAGAGAGGAAAGACGAAGCCGTCCAGGCCTCAAGCAGGGACCTTTTACGAGCCGGAGATCCCGCTGGAGGCCGAGGCACCTCTCGGGCCTCCCTCTGTCCCCAGCCGGCTCCATCCGTCCCCTCCCACCTTACCGTCAAACACAGCCCCGCTGAACTGGGTGGTGGAGGCCAAGGGCAGGCAGGTGCTGTCAAACTTGTTCCCATAGTTGCCGATGCTGACCTCGAACTGGATGGCGGCGTCGACGTCCTGCAGCATGGTGGCCGAGTAGAAGGCGGCAAAGAGGCAGAACTTCCTTCTACGCAGGTACTTCTGCCGCGCAGAGAAAAGGGGGCGTGGGGGGGGAGAGAGAGACCATGAATCACCCCCAGCAGAGGCCCTGCCCTCTGCTGCAAAACTGTATTTATTAAAGCACCTCTACCTCGTTTTTCCTTGTGGCTGAAGGTGCTTTAGGAAGAGAAGAGATTGGATTTCTACCCCGCCCTTCACTACCCGAAGGAGTCTTGGAGTGGCTTACAAACTCCTTTTCCTTCCCCTCCCCAAGTCCCCAGTCAGCGAGATTCCATGGTACCAGCGGGGAATCAAACCCAGTTCTCCCACATTAGAGTCCGCGCACTTAACCACGATACCAAACTGTATGTGTGTGTGTATATATATATATATATATATATATACACACACACACACACACACACACACACACGCACACATGCTGCTGCTGCCTATATTTATTTGTTTATATCTTACCTGTATATATCGCACCCTCTACTGTGCAGTCTCAGATCTGTATAGCTAAACGTGGTTCAGTACAGAACCACAATATAGCTCCTTTTAGAAAAAGGAAGAGATTGGATTTATACCCCACCCCCTCACTGCCCGAAGGAGTCTCAGAGCGGTGTATAAACTCCTTTCCCTTCCCCTCCCCACAACAGACAGACACTCTGTGAGGTGGGCGGGCTGAGAGAGCGCTTTCGAGGACTGCTCCTGAGAGAACAGCTCTGACAGAACTTGTGACTGACCCAAGGTCACACCACCAGCTGCACGTGGAGGAGGAGTGAGCGGTCAAACCCGGTTCTCCCAGATTAGAGTCCACACTCCTAAACCACTACTCCAAGCTGGCTCTCTGGACACAATCGAAAGAAAATGAAAAAGTTCAGGTATATTGGCGGGCTAGGTGAGAGGCTAGAAGGGAATAGGGAAAGATGTTTACGGGACTAAAGGATGGCGCGGGCTAGCCCCATCTCATCGGATCTCGGAAGCTGAGCAGGGTTCATACTCAGATGGGAGACCACGGCTACACAGAGGCAGGCGAGGGCAAACCACGTCTGCCAGCCCCCCTTGGGGTTGCCACAAGCCGGCACCTGACGAAGAGAGCTGTGCTGCTCGAAAGCTTATGCTACTAGAAAGTTTGTTAGTCTTCAAGGTGCTACTGGGCTTTTTACTGTTCATTAAAGACCAGCTGAAGCTCAAATTGTTTGGCCGCCCAATGAGAAGGGAGCCCTCACTGAAGAATCCCGCTCCCGGGCCAAATCGCCTCGTGTGAACGGGAACTTTGCTGACTTCCGGTTGATGGCGGCACGCTCATGGACTCACCTCCTGGACCTCCCAGGTGTGTCTCCGTGCTCCGGCAGAGGGAGGGGGTGAGCAGGCTCGATAACTTCCCCAGGGTCCCGGCGAAGGGACCCTGGCCAAGGAGCTCTGAGGGGGTAGCCTCTTCGATGGCTGAATGCAGGAGAATCGAGGCTCTCCCTTGCTCCAGTGGTTCATCCATCCGAGAGACCGAATGGTATAAGTGAAGCTAACCGGGTCAAGCGCAGGAGATCGGGCATGAGAAATGATGAAGGAAGCGGGGTCGGAAGACCAATTATGAACGTGAGTCAACTGAGAAACGAATTTTAAAAGAAAAGACGCTCCCTACCCTACGCGGCGGAACGGCAGAAGCGAGCGGGGGAAGGACGCCTCCTATGCGCATAAATCATTGTGCGAAAGGGGGGGGAGCGGAAGTATAAACGTGCAATTGCCCAGATGTACTCACCCATTCGAGCTATACAGTCAAGCGCATATTCAGAGACTTTAAAAAATTTTCGCGAAAGTAAACAAACAGGAAAAAGATGGCGGGGAAGAGGGACAGAGACAAAGAGAAATTTTTAAAAACGAAACCAGAGTCCCCGAAGCCGGAAATGACCAGTGAGACGACGAAGGCAATGGCTAAGGTCACGCGCCCTCTACTGGAATGCCTTTAAAGAGCAGATGTCCGTGGTAACAACGAATATTACTGCGCAACAAAATCAGCTGTCAGTTGTAACAACAAGCATCACTGCACAACAAACGCAAATAACGAACTTGATCCAAGTAATGAAGCAGGATGCTGAGAAAATAAAGGAAATGGCTGAGACAACGCAGAAAGTGAGGAAGAAAGTGCGAAAATTGGAAAAGAAAACTGTTTCTTTGGAAGATCAGATGCTGCAAGTGCAAATGGATAAGGCCAACATGGTCCTGCGCTTCCAAGGGGTGCCAGAGAATAGAGGAGAGAATCTTAAAGAACTTATGAGTGAGCTATTTGCCCCAGTAACAGATATAAAGGCGGAATTGTTACTCAAAGACATGGATGTGGTCATATTCAGGATATATAAAGAAAAATAATCCGCCTGGGGAAATTGTAGTAAGATTCTCGAAGAGGCACGTCAGGAATGCTATCCTGAAAGCAGTGGCTGTGACACCCCCGAAGGTGGGGGAGAATGCTGTCAGAACGCTAAAGGATATTCCATTTGAAGTAAGGCAACGTAGAAAGAAATACAAAGAACTTGTGCTCTTCCTCCAAACAAATTCAATTGGATACAAATGGCTATTTCCAGAAGTAGTAACATTTAAGATTAAAGAGAAGAAGGTAAAGATACTCTGTTCTTAAAGCTCAAGAATTTTTAAAGGAGCAGCTGGGAAGGTCAGAGGACGAGAAAAAAGAAGAGGACGATAGGTCCAGCGGTGAGCTGGAAACTGGTTCATCTGGCGAGGACTCTTTATCTGAGCAGGGGGCAGCAGCCCCGAAAAGTCCTACAAACTGCGGAAAAGAGAGAAGAAGTAAAGGCTGAAGGACTCTGAATTGTGCTTTTGAGAACTTTGGTTCCAGGGGATGAGGGGGGGCACTGTTATTGGGCAATTAAATGTAAATGGGGAGGGTTAAAAGTTCTAAAAGTTTGACACAGTTCATAAGAAGTACAAAGATGAAAAGTTTGGATGCAAAAAAGCTAGTTGGAGGATCTCCTCTCTTGGGTTTTTAGTCAGTAGTGGGTTCTTTACTTTCTCCCTTATATGTAGTTTTTCCCCTCCGGGGGCTCAAAAAAAAGAAGAAGAAGAAGAAGAAGGGGACGGCAAAAGACGAGATGGTCAGACAGTGTCATCGAGGCAATGAACATGGAATTCAGCAAACTCCGGAGGACGGCGGAAGACAGGAGGGCCTGGCGTGATGTGGTCCGTGGGGGTCGCGAAGAGTCGGACTCGACTGTGCGACTGAACAACCACAACAGCGACCAGCAAGCTTTGCAGGGTATGAGCTCTCAAGCGTCAAGGCTCCTTTCATCAGACCTTTGACCCTCGGAAATCTCGTTGGCCTCTAAGGTGCTGCGATGTGGAAAGTGCCGTCACGTTGCAGCCGACTTACGGCAACCCTGCGGGGATTTTCAGGGCATGAGACATTCAGAGGGGGTTTGCCGTCGCCTGCCTCTGCAGAGAGACCCTGGCCTTCCTTGGGGGTCTCCCACCCAAATGCTAACCAGAGACAACCCCGCTTAGCTTCCCAGATCTAACGCGATCAGGCCAGCCTGTACTATCCAGGTTAAAGCTATTGGTCCTGCTGGACTTGAATCTAGCTGACCTACTGTCTTCTGTTGCCCCAGAAGGTCAGGCCAGAAGCAACGAGTTTAAATTAAATCAGAAGAGTTTCCGGCTAAACATGAGGAAGAACTTCCTGACCAGTTAGAGCGGTTCCTCAGTGGGACAAGCTTCCTCGGGAGGTGGGGGGCTCTCCTGCTTGGGAGGTTTTCAAGCAGAGGCTTAGATGGCCCCATCGGACAGCCATGTGGATTCTGTGAACTCAGGCAGATCATGAAAAGGGAGGGCAGGAAGGGTTGCCTCAGGGCTTAGTTCTTGTGGCCCTTTCTTACATGCCCAGGGAAATGCCGATCGCCATTTCCGGGTCAGGAAGCCATTTTTCTCCGGACCACTTTGGCTTGAGATCTTAGAGGGGTTTCTTTGTCATCTTCTGGGCATGGAACAGCGGTCACTGCGGATGTGGAGAGGGAGGTGTTTGTGAATTTCCTGCATTGTGCAGGGGGCTAGACTAGATGACCCCAGAGGTCCCTTCCAACTCTATGATTCTATTGCAGACCAATGTGGCTACCACCAAGCCACAGCCCCCCCCTCCAATTCTGCCATGGAAGCCCGCTGGGTGACCTTGGGCCAGTCACACACTCTCAGCCTAACCTATCTCACAGGGTAATTAATGGTGGCAATAAAATGTGGGAGGGGGGAATGATGATGTAGGCCACTGGGAGTAAGAAGAGCAGGGTAAGAATGTCTACATAATTAAATAACTAACAAATGTTCTTAGTTCTCGTGGCCCTTTCTTACACGCCCAGGGAAATGCTGATCGCCACATTGGGGTCGGGTCAGGGCAGGGAATCAATTTTTCTCCAGGCCAGTTTGGCCAGGGATCCTAGAGGTTTTTTGGTCACCTTCTGGGTGTGGAACAGGGGTCACTGAGGGTGTCTGTGGGGGGGAGGTATTTGTGAATTTCCTGCATTGTGCAGCGGGTTGGACTAGATGACCCTGGAGGTCCCTTCCAGCTCTATGATTCTATGATTCTACTGCAGACCAATGTGGCTACACTCTGAAACTCTTTAGGGATGAAAGAAGAATGTGTGAGCCCTTATGGATTCCACAGACGACAGTTGCCCACTATATTCAACCGTTTCTTCACCGCACTGGCTCCACCATGTGGACCAGCGGGTTGATTTGACTCCTCCTGGGTATGGCTTGCAACACAAAAAAACTGGATCGACCAGAGCCGGGCAGGACACAAGTAGGCAGTGCCGACAATGACAGCCAAACACGACCACTTCACGATCTCTGAAGGGGTCCTGTCTGTGAACGGACTCTGAGGATTATGAACGGAGGAGGAGAACGGAGCGTGCCCAAGGAAAGGCTGCTGGAATGACCCATTACCTCCGCCAGCAGAATGTCATCGGCAGAGATGTCTTCCACCTTCTGCTCCACGTGATCCACCAGCTTGGTCTCCAGTTCTACCAGCAGCCGCCCCCGATAGGCAACACCCTCTCCCTTTGGGACAACACAAGCAGACGGTACTGTTAGAGGACACTACGCATCGTACACGTTTTGGGGTTAATGCTACCAGCTCTGGGTTGGGAAATTCCTGGAGATTTTTTTTTGGGGGGGGGAGCCAGAAGAGGGCGGGGTTTGGGGAGGGGAGGGGTCTCAGCAGGGGTCATTTCGTAGAAAAAGAGGTGCAGGAGCTCATTCGCATAACTCATTTGCATAGGCCACACCCCCTGACCTCACCGGAAGTGTGTCAGAAGGCAACACCCACCACTCAGGCTCCACTGGACTAGGGTTGCCAAGTGGGCCAGGGGGGCGGGTAAACCCCCACTTTGGAGGCCCGATTTCCACCGCCGCGGAATCGGGCCTGGGGGGAACTCTGCCCCCCGAAGCGCAGCCAGCATGTGAGAGACGCCCCTCGAACCTGTGAGGCGGCTGCCTTCTCCTTGAAACGTCGCAGCCTCGCAATAGTTCACCATCTGACCACAGACCATCCCTCTCAAGGTTATGGAAATCAGCAACGCGAAGGCCGGGCTGGGCCAGAGAACAGCAGCGGTCAGTCCCCTTGGCCACAAATGGAGCTTCGAAGGCAGTCACTTTACCTTGCCCGTGTTCAGCTCCTCGTAGGGGTCTGGAAATCCCGTGAACTCTCTCGGGCTGCCGTACAGGTTTATGAAACACGGACCGAAAGTCGGCAGGAAACCCAAACTGTCGTCAACTGAAGGGAACACGAGAGAGAGAGAGAGAGAGAGAGAGAGAGAGAGAGAGAGAGAGAGAATTATCTTGAGACTATGGAGGTAGTTTATCAACACACTAGCAGAAAATCCATGCAATCGAACACTCTGTGTCACACAGTGGCCAAAAATACCAGGTGCCATCAGGAGGTCCAGCAGTGGGGCCAGAACTCCAGAAGCCCTCCCATTGTTGCCCCCCCCCCAAGCACCAAGAAGACAGAGCATCACCTGCCCCAGAGTTCCTATCTATACTTTGTGGCTTATAGCCACTGATGGACCTCTGCTCCATATGCTTATCTAATTCCCTCTTGAAGTCGTCCATGCTATTTTGTTTCACCTGTCTATTCTAATATTAAATGGCATGGTGATTTTAAAACTATCTCCTGGGGTCTTCTCTGGGGTTCCCTCAATGTGAAGGACAGGGGGAAGTCAACTTGCACGGTTCTGAAGTGCATCGCCAGCCATGCTGGTGGTGGGTGGCACTGTCAAGTTGCAGCCGACATATGGTGACCCTTCAGGAGGAGGAGGAGATTGGACTTATACCCTCTAGCCCTTCACTACCCAAAGGTGTCTCAGAGCGGCTCACAGACTCCTTTCCCTTCCCCTCCCCACAACAGGCACACCCTGTGAGGCAGGTGGGGCTGAGAGAGCTCTGACAGAAACTGCTATTTTTCAAGGACAGCTCTTATCAGAACTACGGCTTGCCCAAGGTCATCCAGCAGCTGCAAGTGGAGGTGTGGGGAAATCAAACCCGGCTCTCCCAGATTAGAGGCTGCGCACTTCACCACTACACCAAACTGGGACCCTGATGCTGGAAAAGAAGAAGAAGAAGAAGAGATTGGATTTATACCCTGCCCTTCACTACCCAAAGGTGTCTCAGAGCGGCTCACAGACTCCTTCCCCTTCCCCTCCCCACAACAGACACCCTGTGAAGTAGGTGGGGCTGAGAGAGCTCTGACAGAAACTGTTCTTTTTCAAGAACAGCTCTGACAGAACTACGGCTTGCCCAAGGTCAGGGCTCTAGTCGGGGGGGAGCTCTCAGGTACGGAGCTCCGGAAGAGAACCTCTAGGGGGCGGGGCGGTCACGTGGTGAAGCCCCGCCCCTTCTTTACCCCGCCCTCTGCTTCGATCCTCATTTTGTTTGGGAATGAGGATGAAGCAGGAGGGTAAGTAGCCGGGCCTTCTGACACACTTCCGGTGATGTCAGGGGGTGTGGCCTTCTGTCACTTCCGGTGATGTCAGGGGGCGTGGCATATGCAAATAAGTTATGCTAATGAGTTATGCTAATGAGCTCCGGCAGCTCTTTTTCTACAACAAGACCCCTGCCCAAGGTCATCCAGCAGCTGCAAGTGGAGGCGTGGGGAAATCAAACCCAGTTCTCCCAGACTAGAGTCCGTGCACTTAACCACTGCACCAAACTGTCTGGGATAAAAGCAACAAGTGCATTTTTAAAATCAAATATGATCCACACATGGAAATGTCAACCAACAGGTATCAATGACTGAATTCAAATATCATTAAAGTCAAATTACAAATATTCAGTTTTCAAAGACTCTTTGGGAAATATTTCAGCAGTCACAGACAATGCTCCCTCTAAGCTGTGGAGTCTTGTGAACAAAAATGCTACTCTGTGAGCCACTGGCATTAAAGTTGTGAGCGAGCGCTTTGGCGACGGCATCAGTTTGCTCTGGAGCCGTCCTTCCTGAGCGAAGACAAAGATGTGTGAGCCGGAGGCTAAAAAACTGTGGGCTAGCTCACACTAACTCAGCTTAGAGGAAGCAGTGGTCACAGAAAATGTGGAGGATACTGGCCAACAAAATTCACCAAGGATAATTTTGAGGAGAGTTTCCAAGAACAAATTTATTCCACCTCTGTGCCTGGGGATTCAGCCCGAGCACCACTGCCCTCCTGTGGCCAAAGGAGGAATATTCAGGGAGACCAGCAAGGAAAGCTCTTTGCATCTATAGGCCAGGTTGAGTCATGTGATACTCCCTGGTGCCTATAAAAGCTTCCAGGTCAGGTTTGCGGGGCAGAGACCCGCACTTATGGGTTACGGGCTTGTCCTGATTGTTGCAAAGGTTTGCTTGCATGCATCCTCAAAAGAGTGCAGTCTTTTAGTCATAGTTGTCACATGAACACATGACGCTTCCAGGGTTGCCTGGTGTTCGGGTTTGAACTGGATGGTCCGGCATTTATGCTTTCTGAATGGGAAACTGATTAAGAAAATAAACTGAGAAAATACTGGACATATAAAAGTTTTGTTTGGCATTCCCTCAATGATTCCTTCCTACTAACCAGTGTTTTCATGTTTTGTATGTATTTGGTGCTGGAGAAGGCTCTTGAGAGTCCCTTGGACTGCAAGGAGCTCAAATCAGTCAATCCTAAAAGAAATCAACCATGACTGCTCCCTGGAAGGCCAGATAATGAAACTGAAGCTCAAATATTTTGGCCACCCAATGAGAAGGGAGCACTCGCTGGAGAAGACCCTGATGCTGGGAAAGATTGAAGGAAAAAGAAGGGGACGGCAAAGGATGAGATGGTCAGACAGTGTCATAGATGCAACGAACATGAAATTCAGTAAACTCCGGAGGACGGCGGAAGACAGGAGGTCCTGGCGTGATGTGGTCCGTGGGGTCGCAAAGAGTCGTACTCAACTGTGCGACTGAACAACAAAAAATGTATTTTAACTATTTTGTATGTATTTTAAGGGAAGGAGGCATGGTGTTGCCCGATCGTGTCAGATCTCAAAAGCTAAGGAGAGTCGGTATTTGGAAGGGAGACCACCAAGGAAGGCTCTGCGGAGGGAGGCCACGGCCAACCACCTCTGCTTCTCCTTTGCCTTGAAAGCCCCTTGCTGGGGTGGCCGTAAGCCGGCTGCAACGTGACGGCACTTTGCACACAGAGATGTATTTTAATTCTCTTTCTAACTCTTTTCAAAATTATTTTAATGATGTATGTTAGGGAGGGGGTTAATTTTAGTGGTTTTATAATGCAATTTTATCCTGCACGTTTTAAATTGTTAGCCGTCATTTTCTTTTTTAAGATTTTATTTGAAATTAAACATATAAAATGGGCAAAAAACTGGGGCACAAGCTGAGAGAACAGCCCAGACTGTGGTAGCAATGACCGTCTGGAAGCTGAGAGTATACCGCCATCACTTATAAATATTTACTAATATTTATCAATATTTATGTTTACTGGCACTTATATGATTTTATATGTTGTGATTTTACCTAATGAAATATTCTGTTTTAACTATTTTGCTGTTTTACATGTGTGTGTGTGTGTGTGTGTGTGTGTGTGTGTGTGTGTGTGTGTGCGAAGGGGGACCGATTGATCTACTTGCAATTTCTTGCTTTCGAACTGCTAGGTTGGCAGGAGCTGGGGCCAGAGACGGGAGCTCACTCCGTCATGCGGCACTTGGGTCTCGAACTGCTGAACTATCGACCTTCCACAGCCTGCAGTTCAGCGTCTTAACCACTTGAGCCACCGCAGCTCCTGTGTGTATATATATGTATGTATATATATATACATACATACATATATACTTTCTGTGAGCTGTGCCCTGAGCCTACCTTGGCGGGGAAGGTGGGATACAAATTAAATAAATAAAATAAAATAAATAAGAGAGGAGAAGAAGAAGAGATTGGGTTCATACCCCGCCCTTCACTCAGAGTCTCAGAGCGGCTCACAATCTCCTTTCCCTTCCTCTCCCCACAACACACACCCTGTGAGGTAGGTGGGGCTGAGAGAGCTCTGAGAGAACTGGTGACTGAACCAAGGTCGCCCAGCAGCTGCACATGGAGGAGTTGGGACTCAAACCCGGTTCTCCCAGATTAGAGTCTGCGCTCCTAACCACCACACCACACTGGCTCTCTTAAACAAATTAAGCAGCCCTAACTGCTGGAACAGCAAATCTAGGAGAGTCCCCCCGTTTCCCCTCACTTGGCCCCTTCTTCTCGTCTCCACCTGCCAACCTCACAAGCAAACAAAGACTCAAGCCCAGTTCAGATAAAGCACTCTTCAAAAACCAGATCCGGTTCATCACATGCAGCCATCACCCAGAGATTTCTCCCACACACACACCAGGAACACCCATGCACGGTGTGCAGACAGGGGGGCGGAGGGAAGCCAAGTCTCCCAGCTGGATCCTTTGGACAAGCCAGTGGCCAGAGCCACACACTGGTCTACATTCTCAACAGGCACCAAATAATAATACCGGGAAGAGGGGAAGATGTTTTCGATGTGTGTGTGTGTGAGGAAGAGCTAGAAGGTGCAACCGCATGCCAAGGAACGTACTGTTGCTTGCTTTGGGAAGCTTCACAAGGGCGGGGGACTCATCTGAGGCACAGAGAAACAGGAGAAAGAGTTAAAGGAGGAAGTCGAGGTCTGCAGGGCCGAGGCGGAGTGTCAGCCCAGCTTGGAGACAAGACAACACAGGAGGAGGAGGAGAACAGAAGAGGAGATTGGATTTCTACCCCGCCCTTCACTACCCAAAGGAGTCTCAGAGTGGCTCATAAACTCCTTTCCCTCCCCCTCCCCACAACAGACACCCTGTGAGGTAGGTGGGGTTGAGAGAGCTCTTGACAGAAACGGCTCTTTCTCAAGGACAGCTCTGACAGAACTACGGCTTGCCCAAGGTCATCCAGCAGGTGCAAGTGGAGGAGTGGGGAATCAAACCCGGTTCTCCCAGATTAGAGTCCGCGCATTAACCACTACACCAAACTGGCTCTCAAGGGAAGAAGAAGAAGAGAAGAGGAGATTGGATTTATACCCCGCCCTTCACTACCCAAAGGAGTCTCAGAGCGGCTCACAAACTCCCTTCCCTTCCCCTCCCCACAACAGACACCCTGCGAGGTAGGCGGGGCTGAGAGAGCTCTGACAGACACTGCCCTGACAGAACTACGGCTTGCCCAAGGTCACCCAGCAGCTGCGAGTGGAGGAGTGGGGGAATCAAACCCAGTTCTCCCAGATTAGAGGCCGCGCACTTCACCACGACACCAAACTGAAGAGCTCTAGACCAAGGGCCGGAGGATTAAAAGGAAGACCGGACTTCCAGTGAGGCTCCAAGCCTCGTGCTCCAGGACAGGACCAACTAACTCAGACGACTGTTACATTTATTGCATGGTAGCTGGTCACTAGGAGCTGCGGTGGCTCAAGTGGTTAAGACGCTGAACTGCAGGCTGTGGAAGGCCGGTAGTTCGGCAGTTCGAGACCCGAGTGTGCCGCATGACGGAGTGAGCTCCCGTCTCTACTTCCAGCTCCTGCCAACCTACCAGTTTGAAAGCAAGAAATTGCAAGTAGATAAATAGGTACCACTTCGGTGGGAAGGTAACGGCGTTCCGTGCGCCTTGGTGTTTAGTCATGCCGGCCACATGACCACGGAAATGTCTTTGGACAGCGCTGGCTCTTCGGCTTGGAAACGGAGAGGAGCACCGCAACCCTAGAGTCGGACTCGACTGGCTTTCGAGCAAGGGAACCTTTACCTTTAGGTGGTCACTGGAAGCATCTGTCGCATGGTAGCCCACCAGTCTCTTAAGATGGGAAAACCCTCCCACGTGACCGAACTTCCACCAGCTGAGCAGTTGTTTAACAATTCGGGGAGATTCTCAAGCTCTAAGAAGACCAGGCAAGAGACTCCAAGGAGAGGCTGGACAGGATCAGGTCTGAAACAGGGGACAAAGCTCTTGTTCCGATCTCTCTTCTGCTCTTCCTTTCTGTTAAATAGTGGGTTCCGTGGGTGAACAGACTCCCAGTCTGGTGATCAGCCCTACTTTATTCAGTGATTTCAGCCAGAACAAGCCTGGCTCAGCTCAGTTATATTGCCTGCAATGGGCACACCCCAACACACCCCACTCCCAACAACAGGCTATTTACAAAACTTTACATCATAATTTGTTACTGTCAGTCTATTGTTATTCGGCTCCAAGCTCACCCTGTCTCTGGCAATACCATCCTACACCTTGATTGGTTCCTGCCAGAATCCTGTTGGTCTGTTGTTATTCGGCTCCAAGCTCACCCTGTCTCTGGCAGCACCGTCCTACACCTTGAACGGTTCCTGCCAGAATCCTGTTGGTCTATTGTTATTCAGCTCCAAGCTCACCCTGTCTCTGGCAGCACCGTCCTACACCTTAATTGGTTCCTGCCAGAATCCTGTCGGTCTATTGCTATTCGGCTCCAAGCTCACCCTGTCTCTGGCCCCACAGTCCTACACCTTGATTGGTCCCTGCCAGAATCCTGTTGGTCTATTGTTATCCGGCTCCAAGCTCACCCTGTCTCTGGCAGCACCGTCCTACACCTTAATTGGTTCCTGCCAGAATCCTGTTGGTCTATTGTTATCCGGCTCCAAGCTCACCCTGTCTCTGGCAGCACCGTCCTACACCTTAATTGGTTCCTGCCAAAATCCTGTTGGTCTACTGTTATTCGGCTCCAAGCTCACCCTGTCTCTGGCCGCACAGTCCTGCAATGTTTCAGTCCCAATACATAACACTTCCAAAAGGAGGATCCTTCTAGTACGCTTTCAGATTAGGCAAAGGTATTTGTGGCCTCACCCTCTGGACACAATGGGGAGGTAGGAGTAAAAGGATAGCTGGGGGGGGGGGGGGGGGGGAGAGATGACGAATGGGGGAAGCACACCATCAGAAATTCCCAACTACAAACATGCACACTGCAACTGGAAATGCCCAGAGAGGATCCGTGATTCTTTTGCAAGGGCCAGGTCAAGCAGAAAGGAGGGAGAATATGCAGCTGCAGAAACCACCTGAAATGGATCTGTCAGCAAAAGAAAACTCCGAAATCTGTACATTTGGCGTTAGAAACATTGGGGGGACGAGAAAGAGAGAAGTGTGGAGCAATTCTCTCTTCAGGAAAAAAGGTAAAAAGGTAAAGGTTTCCCTTGCTCGAAAGCCAGTCGAATCCGACTCTAGGGTTGCAGTGCCCATCTCCGTTTCCAAGCCGAAGAGCCGGCGCTGTCCAAAGACGTTCCCATGGTCATGTGGCCGGCATGACTAGACGCCGATGCGCACGGAATGCTGCCACCTTCCTACCGCAGCTGTACCTATTTATCTACTTGCAATTTCTTGCTTCCGAACTGCTAGGCTGGCAGGAGCTGAGGCCAGAGACGGGAGCTCACTCCGTCACGTGGCACTCGGGTCTCGAACGGCCGAACTAGCGACCTTCCGGTAAATAAACCACCTGAGCCACCGCAGCCCCATTCAGGCACAAAATGGCACAGCAAATCCCCCTGCCGGGATGGCCAAGGTTGCCAGCCGCCTCTTGGAGAAATACCTGGAGATTTGGGGGTGGAGCCAAGAGTGGGCGAGGTTTGAGAAGGGGAAATATTTCAGCCGGGTACAATGCCATAGAGTCCGCCCTCCAGAGCGGGCGTTTGCTCCGGGGAGGGAACTGACCTCTGGCCCCAGAAGATCAGCTGTTATTCCAGGAGGTCTCCACCAATGCTCCCTCTAAGCTGTAGAGTCTTGTGAGCAAAAATCAGACTTGGTGAGCTACTGGCAATAAAGGGGTGAGCGAGCCATTTGGCTACTGCATAAATGAGTTTGCTCTAGAGCCATCCATCCTGAGCTAAGACAGAAATCTGTGAGCTGGAGGCTAAAAACCTGTGGTAGCTCACACTAACTCAGCTTAGAGGGAACATTGGTCTCCACGCCTGCCCCGGAGCTTGGAAGCTCAGTTGCATCGGGGACCAGTGGGGCTGGGTGCACGTCAGACCCCTGAGGAACAGCCAGTGCTGGTCAAGTTTTCAAGGGGGATTAAAGGGGGGGTGGAAGAAGGTCGCCCTCCTTGCCCTGACCCCAGGAAAACCACCTGCTCGGGCTTTTTTTCAAGGGTCTCAGAAACAAACCCTTGCTGGCCATGGAAGCCCCCACCCCCTGTGCCTGGTATCCCCCCCCCCATATTTTCTGAGGGCCCCGGCCTCATGACAGCAGTACCTTCCAGCTCCCCTCCTGGGGCCGAGATCTGAGACATGCACAGGTGACTGGTGCCAACGACGTCATTGTGGGTCACGCGGTCCCTGAAACAAAGACAAGCGTTTTTGGTTGGTTGGTTGGTTGGTTGGTTGGTTTGGTTGGTTTGGTTGGTTGGCTGGCTGGTTGGTTGATGGATTGATTGACTTCATTCCTAACTCACCAGTCAATGACCCGGATCCTCATCTTCTCACACATGGAAGGAAACTAGGAAGAGGGGGAGGGGAGAAAAGTCCAGTGAACAGAGGAAGCTGCCTTCTACTGCACCAGACCTTTGTTCCTTCAGGGCCAGTATTGCCAACACGGACTGGCAGCAGCTCTCCAGGGTCTCAGGCACAGAGCCCTTCCACATCCCCTACTCCCTGGTCCTTTTAACTGGAGAGGCTGCCGGGGATTGAACCTGGGACCTCCTGCACGCCAAGCAGAGGCTCTGCCACTGAGCCACGGTCCCCTCCCCCAGTGGGAGCAGCTCAGAGCAGAGAACCGACAGGAGAGCCCCCCCAGGATGCTAACCCCTGTGGCTCACCATGGCTGGTAGGGTGATGCTTTGGTTCCACTGAGGGTTGGCCGTCTTCTCCAGGACCTTGCTGCAGAACTGGGAGAAGAAAAGAAGGGCACGGCGTCACTGTCGACCACCCCCTCCGGACAAAAGGGTTAGACACAGAGACTAAATCAGACGTTAGTGGCACTTGGGATGCAGACGGCCCGTGCCTAGGGACAGCGCAGCCTCTTGTAAGAAGAAGAGAAGAGGAGATTGGGTTTACACCCCGCCCTTCACTCGGAGTCTCATGGCGGCTTACAATCTCCTTTCCCTTCCCCTCCCCACAACAGACACCCTGCGAGGTAGGCGGTGCTGAGAGAGCTCTTTCAACGACTGCTCTTGAGAGAGAACAGCTCTGAGAGAGCTTTTAACACACCCAAGGTCACCCGGCAGATGCTTGTGGAGGAGTGGGGAATCAAACCCAGTTCTCCCAGATTAGCGTCCACGTTGCTAACCGCTACACCAAACCGGCTCCCAAAAGATGCTGATGATCAGCAGAGCACCTGTGAACTTCTGGCGTTGATCCACCCAACCTGGTACTGTCTCCACGATCTGAGGCCTTTCCCAACCCCTCTTCTTGACTACTGGTACCAGGGCTTGAGCCTGGGAACTCCTGCATGCTAGACAGGGGGCTCTAGCCCACCAGGGCCTCTAACCCGATGACAGAAGCCAACCAGCTGACTGAGGGCACCCCTCGCCCAGCCCCCCAGCCTTTGTGAAGGAGACACGGGCTTGCCGCCCCGCCCCCGCTCTTCCCGAAGGAGATTCGTCTTACCGTCTTGCCAGCAAAGGTAACTTCCACAAAAGGATCCACCAAATTCTTCTTGTTGCTGTCAAAGCCAAAGATCTGTCTGACACCGTCCAGGATGGCATCGTCCACTGGAAAGGAGCAGAAATCAGAGGACGGTCAGCAAAGAAGAAGAAGAAGAGAAGAGATTGGATTTATACCCCGCCCTTCAATACAAAGGTGTCTCAGAGTGGCTTCCAAATTCCTTTTCCTTCCCCTCCCCACAACAGACACCCTGTGAGGTCGGTGGGGCTGAGAGAGCTCTAATAGAAACTGCTCTTTTCCAAGGACAGCTCTGACAGAACTACAGCTTGCCCAAGGTCATCCAGCAGCTGCAAGTGGAGGAGTGGGGAACCAAACCCGGTTCTCCCAGATTAGAGTCCGCGCATTTCACTACGACACCAAGTTGGTCTACTGCAGACCAGCAGAGCAACCGTCCCTAGCTATCTTCATGGAAGGCTGCCTGTCTTGAGTGTGCCCAGCGCCTCTCGTCTGCTGCTTGTGCAAATGGTGGTGAAGGGTTCGTGGGTACTGGCTGGCCTCTTGCACCCTCCCTGAGCATTCTTGGGACTTTGGAAGATGAGGGCTGAGAGGAAGCCGTCTGGGCGGTCTCTTTCTGCCGATTGTTCTGGGGTCGCCGGACTTCCTCTTCAGCCCCACTCAGGAAGAAGAAGAGGCGGAGGAGGAGGAGGAGGAGGAGGAGGAGGAGGAGATTGGATTTATACCCCACCCCTCATTCAGAGTCTCAGAGGGGCTTACAAACTCCTTTCCCTTCCCCTCCCCACAACAGACACCCGGGGAGGGAGGTGGGGCTGAGAGAGCTCTGACAGGAACGGCTCTTTTCCAAGGACAGCTCTGACAGAACTACAGCTTGCCCAAGGTCATCCAGCAGCTGCAAGTGGAGGAGTGGGGAACCAAACCCGGTTCTCCCAGATTAGAGTCCGCGCATTTCACTACGACACCAAGTTGGTCTACTGCAGACCAGCAGAGCAACCGTCCCTAGCTATCTTCATGGAAGGCTGCCTGTCTTGAGGGTGCTCAGCGCCTCTCGTCTGCTGCTTGTGG